ATACACATTACACATATACAGATGAAATACACGATATGATGCAGTGCAAATAACAATTAAGATACGGTTTCTATTAAAAATAATTATACGATTTTGGATTTAATTAGCATGTTTAAATTTTCAGGCCAACACGGCTGAGATACAGCATCGGCATACTCAACTGGAGTTGTTTTCTGCCGGTCGTAAGTTCATTGATTGACTGAGCACACTCGTGTCGGGGTTGCGATATTTTCTTCTCTTTTTTGGCAGCCTGCCACCGGTCTGAATTTTGAGAAAGGTCTCAGCATGGGACTGTTAATTACTTCTTAATGATGTCTACAAGCTTACAAACTTGTAGATGTTGGGTGCGGTTAGGACCAAACTTTTTCAGCTCAGAGTGTTAGTGGCCCTGGAACCCATAGTGTCAAACAGGTTCTGCACAAAACGTCCATCAGATTCTACTGTTCAGCAACATTGTCACTGAATTTCAGAACTCTGGCATGATATAATAATCAAGGATTTCGAAGGTGAACGAGGGGAAAGGCAGACGCACGTGGATTTACCCTCAGGTTATTATTGTCTGGAGTTCACATTTTGGGGCATTTCATATTCTAATTGAACAGAGTTCACCTGCACATGTCCACTTTAGTGATACAGACTGTAACCAAAAATGCAATGAGCCGTAGCTCTTAATCCCTTATAACAACGGTAACAACAACCAGGGTGAGGACACAGTAAGGTTAAACCGTGTCCAACAGACAATCTGAGGTGGCTATCTCCCATCAAGTCAGCTCTGTTTTTAAGCGCATAGTTATGTTTTTACATATTGAAATAAAAGGAATTTAAAAAAATATATTTAACAAACCTACACATTACCAAATACAAAACTGTATAACCCTCTCTAGACTTCGTTCCAATTAACCTGGATCATTCAACTCTCTCGCGAAGGTCGTATGCGACATTAAAGTGAATACGTCTACAGTGTACAAGTAACTTTTAACTGTATCATATATACTCATGATAAGCAATTATTTTCGTTCCTAATTCGAATGAGCACATTCTGAGGCTAAATCTGCAAAAGGACAGATAAAATATTTCTTTGTACAATGCAAACGATACAAACGTAGCGGCTGATATATCAAGTGTTCTCGTTCAATCTATTGTACATATTGAAGTGATTGTAAAGTTTCAAGGAGTACTAAAATGTTGTGGTATTATGAATGTATCTAGAATATGAATAGCGAAAAACAGTCACCATATCGGATGTACATGTATATCTTGTCTTCCAACACCACGCTTGTGCCGAGGCCCATGGTCATAAAACTAATCGGTCCCATAAAAGGAGCAAATAGTTTCGCAGATACTTCTTGCTATGGTTCACTCACAATTGTCAGACGACCTAATCATCAGTCAGACCAGTCAAGTGTGACCAGCGTACCTGCCTGGTTTTGGCTCCTAATTACTGAACTGCCCAATACTGTCATACTGTGGGCAGAGTAAGCGGCCTCGTTGAGTGATACAGACTAACCAGATTATGATTGTGTTTGTAAGTTGCGTTTAATCTGTGTCGGGTTGCAGTTGTTTTATTAGTCAAGACTAGGGGTAGTTTTTTTCAATGAAACCTTTTAGCCGTTGAGTTTGTTTTGCATTCATTTCATTAAATACATTGTTAGGTAGAATAATAACACGTTATATGGATAAAACATCTCCCTAATCTGAGTATAATCTCACATGTACTCTAAGTACCGTACTATATTACTTTGCGGAGACACTGAGTATAATTTTTTAGTTGGCATTGTATGCTGTCTGAATGACTTTACACAAATCCCTGCATTCAATAGACCCGTGAAGATCTTCAACAAACCATTCTTGGCGTAAAAGGGCGACAGCGCTTGTCGTAAGAAGCGACTACCGGGATCGGGTGGTCAGGCTCGCTGACTTGGTTGATGCATGCCATCGTATCCCAATTGCGTGGATAGATGCACATGATGTCAATCACTGGATTGTCTGGTCCAGACTCGATTATTTACAGACCGCCGTCATACAGCTGAAATATTGCTAAGTGTGGCGTTCTACAACTAACAAACAAACAAAACACAAAAAGAGAAAGTGTATGAGTACTAAAACTTGCAATAGATATGCGTACCCTACGTACACACATGTGTCCCATTCGACAGTCTACAACACACGAATAACTGTCAAACAAGTTTGGGTACCCTTTCTGTTCAGGCAAGTTATTTAGTTCGATAATTTTGTATTAAAATCCTTTTCAATTTGTTTTCATCCTTTTTCCCTATTCCATGCATGTTTATGTTGCTACATCTTATTGCTCATGTTTCCAAGTATTGTAAAACACTTTAATGTTTCTCCTTCTTAATCTAACGTTATAACATTTCCGGCCATTGCCATCATCTAATACACAAGAGATGATACCAAGACATATTTTATTCGGTTTTATGGTCTATGCGGTCTTACAATTGATTTTATTAGTCTTTAAATCTTATGTCTTGTAAATATTTTCACAAACAGGGCTGTTAACTGATATAAGGAATGTAACATCCAGTTGAGGACTGAATACGACGTACGTTAGTCTGGTAACGACATTTCTACAATTAATATTTTGAATAAGCCGTTAATACGCCAGTTGTGACAGGGATGATGGTATGGTAGATGTAGCAGACATATTGACAGCCGTTGTTACGCGAGTCACTAGGTTATTAGTACGGCATTGGCCTTGTTGATTGGTACTATACTTTCTGTGGCCACTGGCGGACGTAATTCAAACTCCTTCCACACTGACATCGCACCAAATATATTTGTGTACCGATTACATAACTCTTACTGACAGGGTAGGGTGGTAGTTCACGCGAAACGGACGACACTGTGTATATTTAGCGGCTCCTTTGATATCGCCTCACAACATACTTTTAATGAATGACCAATTAAACGATGATACACATCAGGATCGCGGAGAAAATACAAGCTTCGTTCGCGTTGAATATATATATCAAGGCACAAATTCATCTTTCATAAACTTTTTGTGTCTTGGTGCTTAATATATCCACATATCAACGAAAATATGTAATACATGTATCCACAAAAATATACATGTACAGGCTAGGTATTTGCGCACAGCAACACCTGCATAACTGTTTATTCACGCGTGGTGTGGCAGATTGTAACTGACCGACAACAAGTATTGTAGAATCACCTGTAAATAAGGCCGACACTGTAATTAGACACAACGTACTAATGAGAATATGAGAATTATCATAAGAAGGCTGTTACGTTTTTCTTAACTATTACCATTTTCATACCAAAAGTGACAATGCAGTTAAAAGTTGCTTTAGTGTCACAATATTCACTCACGTTTTCCTCAATCGCATTGAAACATAATTCCTACTGGTCAGTTCGACACTGCTTGTAATTAAATAATTATTTCGAGATTTCGTTAGAATGTAAGATATTCAGCCAAACGTTATGCAATAAAAGACGAATAGTTTCTTTCCATTAAAATACGCGCACGCGTACCTGTCACGTAATTGCACAGTGGGATGTATCAACGGGTCATAAAATGGGAAATGAAATAGAAACTAACTAAAATTTAATGTTGTACACGCACATGAATTCGTATGATAAACTGCCAAAACGTTTTGAGAGATAAGGCCGGGTTCATTAAAGATGTTGGGTGCGGTTAGGACCAAACTTTTTCAGCTCAGAGTGTTAGTGGTCCTGGAACCCATAGTGTCAAACAGGTTCTGCAAAATACGTCAATCAGATTCTACTGTTCAACAGCATTGTCACTGAATTTCAGAACTCTGGCATGATATAATAATCAAGGATTTCGAAGGCAAAACCTTTTCTCGCCCATGGGCGAAATATTTCAATAAATCTGTAAAATAGCTGAATTGAGTAAAATTGTGTTACAATATGTGCCATGAAAATAGTAAGAACACCTGCATGTATTTTGCGAAACAAAAACATAAGTTTTAAGTAAAGGAAAATATTCTCGCCCATGGGCCAAACCCTTTTCTCGCCCATGGGCGAAATATTTCAATAAATCTGTAAAATAGCTGAATTGAGTAAAATTGTGTTGCAATATGTGCCATGAAAATAGTAAGAACACCTGCATGTATTTTGCGAAACAAAAACATAAGTTTTAAGTAAAGGAAAATATTCTCGCCCATGGGCCAAACCCTTTTCTCGCCCATGGGCGAAATATTTCAATATCGCTATAAAATCGTTGAATTAAGTTAAAATGAGTTAAATGTTGTGTCACGATACTTCAATAAATACATTTAATGTATTCGCGAAACAAAAACATGAGTTTTAAGTAAAGGAACATATTCTCGCCCATGGGCGAAATATTTCAATATCGCTATAAAATCGTTGAATTAAGTTAAAAAGAGTTAAATTTTGTGTCATGATACTTAAATGAATACATTAAATGTATTTGCGAAACAAAAACATGAGTTTTAAGTAAAGGAACATATTCTCGCCCATGGGCCTGCCCATGGGCCTACCCATGGGCCAAACCTTTTTCTCGCCCATGGGCGAAATATTTCAATATGGCTATAAAATCATCGTTGAATTAAGTTAAAATGAGTTAAATATTGTGTCATGATACTTGAATGAATACATTAAATGTATTTGCGAATCAAAAACATGAGTTTTAAGTAAAGGAACATATTCTCGCCCATGGGCCTGCCCATGGGCCTACCCATGGGCCAGACTTCGCCCATGGGCAGGCCCATGGGCCACACTTCGCCCATGGGCAGGCCCATGGGCGACATAGTCTAAATATTGAGTTTTTAAACAATTTTTTTTTCATTTTTTCTTCCTTGGTATGTTTCCATGAAAACGGCATGTTTAATTTTGTAAATACCTTTAACCGAGACTGGGCAAAGAGCGTAGAGTTTCTGGACTTTTGGGTTTCCAGAATTAAAATGGGACGTGTTAATTTTTATATATATAAACACGACAATAATCTGAGTCACAATTTCACACTTGCATGCCAACAGGCTTGCCAATCAACAAGTCATAAGAAATGGCTCGGGCTTTCCAAAGTGACATCATGGCGGAACTATTTGCTATCACCGAACATCTGCAACACCTTCTCGGGAGACAGGAGATTTTGCGGGCGGATCTACTGTATGGTGACAGGGGTGCTAGGGTGAGTTCATTCATTGGAGGTGGAAGAGCAAGCCCAGGCGATGTTCAGACATTAGTGAATCACATTTGCACTGTGCTTGTCCGTCTGACCGGAACGTACCGACTCAACTCCAGTCTTGTCGGATCACGTGGCAATCTCACACCAGATACCCGTTCCCGTAAGTCACATGATATTACATCGTTTTAATAACCAGGGCCCCGTTGCACTAAGCGATCTTAGCGCTACGGCTCTCGTAAGTCTATGTTAAAATATGGGAGTTACAATCGACTTAGCACTAAGATCGCTTTATGGAACAGGTTCCAGGAATGTAAATGATGCGTGTAAGGTTTTCTTGGTTGATAATAAGTTGTTTATAACTGTACATAAAAATGGGAAAAACATATATTTATAGGTAATGCGAAGGATTCATTATGAAGAACGTAGTTTTTTTGTTTTTTGTTTGTTTGTTTGTTTGTTGTTTAACGCCGCACTCAGCAATATACCAGCCATATGACGGCGGTCTGTAAATAATCGAGTCTTGACCAGACAATCCAGTGATTGATAACATGAGCATCAATCCACGCAATTGGGATCGATGGCATGCGTCAACCAAGTCAGCGAGCCTGACCATCCGATCCCGTTAGTCGCATTTTACGACAAGCATAGTTGCCTTTTACTACAAGCATAGTTGCCTTTTACGACAAGCATAGTTGCCTTTTACGAAAAGCATAGTTGGCAATCCGGATCTGAATTAAGTTTCATAGTACCCCTTGCTTGTCTTAAGATCCAACTAAACAGGGACCCGTTCCACAAAGTGATCTTAGCGCTAAGTCGATCGTAACTCCCATTCTTTAACACTGACTTACGACAATCGTAGCTCTAAGATCGCTTTGTGGAACGGGGCCTTGGTCCCCGTTCCACAAAGCGACCTCAGCGTTAAGACGATCGTAAGTCCCGCTCGTTAACATAGACTTACGAAAGTCGTAGCACTAAGATTGCGGATACGACAAAAGGAAAGTTAAAATGTAACAGTTATGCAAATAAGCCAATCTATCCTCTCTCTGAATATATGCTGGTCGTGAGAGGCGACTAACGGGATAGCGTGGTTAGGTTCACTGACTTAATTGATTCATGTCATCGTATCTCAATTGCGTGGATGGGATACTCATGATTTCAATCAGTGGTATGCCTGACTCGACTATATAAAGCTAAAATATCGCTGACTGCGGCGAAAACCTACAGACAAGCAATTCCATTATGGTTTTAATCTAAATTAAATGCAATCACGATTTAACTAAATGTCATCAATATTATTTCAGACCTCAACCGCCGCACGCCAGTCCAGGAGACTTTGGAAGGGTCACGTGGTACAATGAGCCTAGCCGTTTGCTGATTGGCTCGATGGATATCGATGACGTCATACAAATATGAAATTGTACAGAACCATGACTAAATAGACAGTTGATACAAATGTTGGTCAAGGCAGGTGGACATAGGGCTGATTGTGCTCAACCCTCGCCCACCCACATTATGTTTGGCTTATGCGTTTTGGTTAAAGAGACCCACAAAAGTATTACCCAAACAAGAACGGCAAGTATCATATGTGCCTTAAAGAGAAATATGTCCATGAAAGGGCAATACACACAGTATATTTTTATGTCCCAATCTGTATGGTTGGATCATGCATTTTTCTACTTTTAAATAAACTGCTCATTATTTTGGAGATTCTGACTTTGTGAGTGTCTGGGACTTTTATGGGAATATCATAGGTGAGTGAGTTACGCTGTGGCTAGCACATTATCATTAGATTCTCACTAGCAGGGCTGGAGCTTTGTTCGTGGACCAGTCGACGGATACACAGCGCATGAACTCCACAGCACCACGTCACACTCTACCGCAGAGTTCTCTCCCTCCCTATGGAAATGGACTCTTCCGTTCCACCGGAAGGCTTCCTGTCCCAAGGCGCGAGGTACACGCCAAGTTTGTTTATGTCTAGCTGAATGTCTAGATATTATCGAGAAATATCGGGAGACATTTGTAATACAACGCCATGCAGCACGTCGTTTTTCATGCTTCTTTCTTGACAAGATGAGATCAAACGTTCGCAGATTGTTTTTTGCTTGATTAGTAGGACGAATACGAATAAGGCTTGTATAAAAGTGAGTATGGTTTTACGCCGCTTTTAGCAATATCACTGGGGAAATCAGAAATAGGCTTCACACATTGTACTAGGGCGATGTGAGCAATCGAACCGGGTCTTCGGCGTGAAGCCACAAACTCCTAACCACAAGGCTCCCTTCCGCACACAAAACAGCAATCTATGATATATTTGGTAAACAAATTGAACCAATTCTGATCTATGGAAGTGAAATATGGGGTTTTAAGGATGTCAAATATTTTGGAAATTATGTAAGATACCGGTTGTATGTAACTTCCATGCATCCCAAAAGATTATCCTTCTAAGTGTTATTTAATGTTAAAGCAAGTTTCTTCTTTTTTTTACGCCGCACTCCGCAATATTCCAGCTATATGAAGGCGGTCTGAAAATAATCGAGACCAGACAATCAGGTGACTGATATCATGAGCATCGATCCACGCAACTTGGATACGATGGCATGCATCGACCAAGTCATGGAGCCTGACCACGCGATTTCGTTAGTCGCCTCTTACGACAAGCATTGCCTCCTCTTACGACAAGCATTGCCTCCTCTTGCGACAAGCATTGCCTCCTCTTGCGACAAGCATTGCCTCCTCTTGCGACAAGCATTGCCTCCTCTTACGACAAGCATTGCCTCCTCTTACGACAAGCATTGCCTCCTCTTGCGACAAGCATGGGCTGCTGGAGACTAATTCTATCCCGGACCTTCGCGGGTTAAGTCAAACTTGTGCCGGCAGGTATCCCGACCTGTGTACTCAAGTAAAGAACTTACCTTCTACGCATGGCTTTGTCATAGTATGGATGTCACAAGAAGTTGTGATCATACGGCCTATCTAAAATGTTTTCAAACAAAATGTTAACGACTGTTCATCTCAAGATTGGCATTCTTAGCAGTTCTTCAATTCTATGCCTCTTTAAAGTTTCTTATAGAATGTGAGACTTATTTAACTCAAATAAGTGTTCCGTTACAGATGGGCACGTCGGGTAGCCTAGTGGTTAAAGCGTTCGCTCGTCGCGCAGAAGGCCCGGGTTCGATTCCCAACATGGGTACATTGTGTGAAGCCCATTTCTGGTGTCCCCCGCCGTGATTTTACTGGAATAGTACTAAAAGCGGCGTAAAACCATACTCACTCCATTACAGATTAAGGCCTTACTTAGATTTCGCTACAGGTTTAACTCATTTGGAATACAAAATGTTCATGGAGAAACACATTCATGTGACGCTGACGCTTTATGTATATAATGTAACGTTATTGAAGATGTCATATTCAACTGCCTTCTATATGAAGATGAGAGAGATCAACTTTCGTTATTCTAATAATGAGTACTAATGGTATACTACTTTAACGTGTGTACATTTGAAGAAAAAGAAAGAAAAAACTTCGTATATTCCAACTTAGAGGTGACATGTAACTTCACGGATGTTGCATTTATTTATTTTCATGTAACATGGTCTATATGGTCTTTAATACAATACACATTAGGCATTAGGAGGTTTAACATGAATACCCAACGCGGACACAGCAAACTCCGAGCCCACCAGTCCTTGTTTTAGCCCCTTAATGCCGAGCGCCAGACAGGGTAACAACAAGTACCATCTTTTAACGTCTTTTGGTATGACGCGGTCGGGGATCGAACCACGGACCTTCCGCTCTCCGGGCGGACGCCCTACCATTAGACCACGGAGGCGGTCCTTAGGAAATAAGGATGATTAATAGGATGAGTAATAGGCAAAACGTCCTTGGCACGTATGTGTTACAGCTAGAAATGTTTGTTCTTTTAACGAAGGGATTTAAAGTTATCCTACATTGACGCGAGCGTGATGTGCCCAGATAACGTCTCAGATAGTTTATATCCGCCCTAATCTTGGTCACGCATTTTGTGTTATCTTTGACTTGAGTCATCGGCCTTCAATATTTGCTCCGTCTGCATACAAATCAACAGTCGTCTGTCTTCCCTGGCCGTCTGTCAAAACTGACTTGCCCACATCTGTCATATCTACATGTCTGTCTCCTATATTTGTCTTGTCAACATGTCTGTCTGTCATATCTACATGTCTGTCTCCTATATTTGTCTTGTCTACATGTCTGTCTGTCATATCTACATGTCTGTCTCCTATATTTGTCTTGTCAACATGTCTGTCCGTCATATCTGCCTTGTCTACATATCTGTCTGTCATATCTACATGTCTGTCTGTCATATCTGTCGTGTCTGTCATGTCTGTCTTGTCTAAATGTCTGTCTGTCATATCTGTCTTGCCTGCATGACTGTCATATCTGTCTTGTCTACATGTCTGTCTGTCATATCTGTCTTGTCTGCGTGTCTGTTTTTTATATCTGTCTTGTCTGCATGTCTGTCATATCTGTCTTGTCTACATGTCTGTCTGTCATATCTGTCTTGTCTACATGTTTGTCAGTCATATCTGTCTTGTCTGCGTGTCTGTTTGTTATATCTGTCTTGTCTACATGTCAGTCATATCTGTCTTGTCTGCATGTCAGTCATATCTGTCTTGTCTGCATGTCTGTCATATCTGTCTTGTCTACATGTTTGTCAGTCATATCTGTCTTGTCTGCATGTCTGTCATATCTGTCTTGTCTGCATGTCTTGTCTACATGTCTGTCTGTCATATCTGTCTTGCGTGCATGTCCGTCTTGTCTACATGTCCGTCTGTCATATCTGTATGTCTGTCTGTCATATCTGCATGACTGTCTGACATATCTGTCTTGTGTGTATGTCCGTCTGTCATATCTGTCTTGTCTACATATCTGTCTGTCTTGTCTGTATGTCTATCTGAAATATCTGTCTTGTCTACATGTCTTCCTGTCATATCTGTCTTGTCTGTGTCTGTCTGCCATATCTGTCTTGTCTACATGCCTATCTGTCATATCTGTCTTGTCTACATGTCTGTCTGTCATATCTCCCTTGTCTACATGTCTGCCTGCCATATCTGTCTTGTCTACATGCCTATCTGTCATATCTGTCTTGTCTACATGTCTGTCTGTCATATCTGTCTTGTCTACATGTCTGTCTGTCATATCTGTCTTGTCTACATGTCTGCCTGTCATATCTGTCTTGTCTACATGTCTGTTTGTCTTGTCTACATGTCTGTAATATCTGTCTTCTCTGCATGTCTGTTTGTCTTTTCTGTCTTGTCTACATGTCTGTCTGTCATGTTTGTCTTGTCTGCATGTCTGTCTGTCATATCTGTCTTGTCTACATGTCTGTCTGTCATATCTGTCTTGTCTGCATGTCTGTCTGTCTTGTCTACATGTCTGTCTGTCATATATGTCTTGTCTGCATGTCTGTCCGTCTTGTCTACATGTCTGTCTGTCATATCTGTCTTGTCTACATGTCTGTCTGTCTTGTCTACATGTCTGTCATATCTGTCTTCTCTGCATGTCTGTTTGTCATATCTGTCTTGTCTACATGTCTGTCTGTCATATCTGTCTTGTCTACGTGTCTGTTTTTTATATCTGTCTTGTCTGCATGTCTGTCATATCTGTCTTGTCTGCATGTCTGTCATATCTGTCTTGTCTGCATGTCTTGTCTACATGTCTGTCTGTCATATCTGTCCTGCGTGCATGTCCGTCTTGTCTACATGTCCGTCTGTCATATCTGTATGTCTGTCTGTCATATCTGCATGACTGTCTGACATATCTGTCTTGTGTGTATGTCCGTCTGTCATATCTGTCTTGTCTACATATCTGTCTGTCTTGTCTGTATGTCTATCTGAAATATCTGTCTTGTCTACATGTCTTCCTGTCATATCTGTCTTGTCTACATGCCTATCTGTCATATCTGTCTTGTCTACATGTCTGTCTGTCATATCTCCCTTGTCTACATGTCTGCCTGCCATATCTGTCTTGTCTACATGCCTATCTGTCATATCTGTCTCGTCTACATGTCTGTCTGTCATATCTGTCTTGTCTACATGTCTGTCTGTCATATCTGTCTTGTCTACATGTCTGCCTGTCATATCTGTCTTGTCTACATGTCTGTTTGTCTTGTCTACATGTCTGTAATATCTGTCTTCTCTGCATGTCTGTTTGTCTTTTCTGTCTTGTCTACATGTCTGTCTGTCATGTTTGTCTTGTCTGCATGTCTGTCTGTCATATCTGTCTTGTCTACATGTCTGTCTGTCATATCTGTCTTGTCTGCATGTCTGTCTGTCTTGTCTACATGTCTGTCTGTCATATATGTCTTGTCTGCATGTCTGTCTGTCTTGTCTACATGTCTGTCTGTCATATCTGTCTTGTCTACATGTCTGTCTGTCTTGTCTACATGTCTGTCATATCTGTCTTCTCTGCATGTCTGTCTGTCATATATGTCTTGTCTGCATGTCTGTCTGTCTTGTCTACATGTCTGTCATATCTGTCTTCTCTGCATGTCTGTCTGTCATATATGTCTTCTCTGCATGTCTGTTTGTCTTTTCTGTCTTGTCTACATGTCTGTCTGTCATGTTTGTCTTGTCTGCATGTCTGTCTGTCATATCTGTCTTGTCTACATGTCTGTTTGTTTGTGTGGGAAATGTCCATGTGGGAAATGTAAGTGTGGAGAATTGTCTGTG